TGAGATCTCATTTAATATTAATGGTGCTATAAAAGCCTGAAAAAAATTAATGCTTAGCCTTGATGAATCTTGCAAACCTGAATGGTTCTATTTTACACACAAAAAGATGAGATAAGATTTATGTATTTCACATATATTTATGTTTCAGCCTTTTAAGTATTTGCATACCTCAAAAACCACTCTAAAAACAAAAATATTACACAGAAACATTTCATAATAGTTTAGCCCCAGACAGAAAAATCAACTGTTGTTGAAGTTGGTGTCTTGCCATAGTATTATTCTTTGCTCCTACAATTTCTTTTGGAAAGTTTATTTAGTCTGTTCTTTAAATATTGCAGGCTGTCAATCTAAAGTTGAAATTTGATGTTAACATGAAAAAACTATGTTTTAGTAACATCAAACTTATGAATAACACAAAAGAATTCAAAGTTGAAGTTGAAACTTCATCTTAAACTTTTCCCTTGTGTTCATTACTGATGCATACACTCTCTAGTATGGAACACCAGACAAATGCTTGCACGCTCTTTCTGAACAGAGTCTCCTTTAATACAAAACAAACAGGAAAGTCAACTCTAATTTTGTGGTCTGACTCAGGCCCTGTTTCAAAAAGCATTTAAACATATGTTTTCAGTATCGTCCTTAACCAAGATGCCCTCCTGAATTCAGACATGAAGAAAAATTTCTTGGAGATACGTAAGTAAAGATTGCAGTAAATGGTAGTGTTTCATGGCTCTGACAATACTCACATTTTGTTTGATTTCAGTAATTCTGTCAATTCTTAATTGTGGTTTTAAAAGTAGGAAAAAATGCTTTATAAAAATGAATGAAATACTGAAGTAGTACAGTAATCTAGCTATAATAACTTGCTGCAAATTTTACATTATGCAAATACGTAGCTGAACAGGAAAAATGCAATTGCCACGAACGTGCAACAGCACATATACAAAGGAACTCCTGAACAAAAAGAAACTACCTAATATTTTTAGCTGAATTTATCAAAGCAGTGCCTTCACATTTTGTAAATGTCCGTATTGCAAAACAAAGCCATCGTTTTATTCTTAGATGGACAGGAAGTCCCTGCTGCTGCTATTTTCTTCAGGATTGTGTTAACTATCTTCTTAACTTTGATCTGGTTATAGAAGCCTGCCTGAGCACACCTGAAGAGATGTACAGTGAGTAGACCACCCAATAAATGTGAGAAGCGTCTCATGTGTGTTGCCTATGACATCCAGCAGAACAAAAGGAGAATTTGTCTATCAGTCAAATACAGGAGGATTAAAGAAAACAAATTTGCTTTCTGGGATTTTTATAGATGCAAATGAATTTCAGTGACTGAGTTTTTCATGCAAACATATTTTTGTAATAATATTGACTATAAAAATGTGGTTTTTTCCCCCTCCTGCTAAAAATATCATACGGTTAATTCTTTATAGGCGGAATAAATTACCTGTTGAAGCTAAAGGTGCATTGAGTATGTGATAGCCATTCTGTCTCAGAGGATTAAAGCAATGGGATTCCCCTGTTAGCACATCACTGGTGACAGACTGGTCCATTGTTCTGTAGCAGTCTCCGTAGTGGAAACAGTTTTGTATTGAGTGAAAGCTGCCTTGGTAACCTGAAAACAGATATTGCACACACATTTTAACACTACTGCAATGGTACTAGCTCCATTTCTGTCACAGTATTTCATTACTGTTGTGGGGGTTTTTAGTTCCTCAGTTTTAACTATGGAAAAATGATCATGCTATTCTATAAGGCGTAATAACATAAAAGCTGCATCAGACTCGGTCCCACAAGGTGCTGTGGACTGTGATCCCCATCAGGCAAAGATCTCAAAGATGTGCTTCATTTCAAGCAATAGATCAGCTGAACGCAGTTAACAGCCCACTTGTGTTCAAAGCTAAGTAGTAAGTACTCCACTGGATCAGGTCCAGGATGCTCAGCTCTTAAGGGAATGTGTCTATAATGAATTACTTTTAATTTAAATACAATAATGCAATATTTAAATGAATAGCACTGCTTTGTTTTCAGTTGAGTAAAGTCTTTTCCCATCCAGCGCTGCTGGAGACAGCGCTATTTATTCGAAATACCTTTAAGAGCACCTTAAACCTCTCCTTTCCCAGACTGCTTTTACTTCAAATGAAACCCCTTCCACTGAACGCAGGAGGCCACAGTCTGCAAGTAAAATTGGACTAGAGGTGCAGGACTGACGCCAGATGTACGTCAGGTGAAGACTGAGTTCAGCTAGAGGCTCTTCTTGCTTCTGGAAAGAGCTGAGATGAATCTGCATGGTCTCTGGCTGGCTTGGTCATTCTGCTTTTGGGGCATGTTTGACTTTTGTCCCCTGCATACCCTACATGTCTTATGTCCTGCTTTTTTTTTTAAAGTATCGTATTACCAGTGGACCAGCAGTTTGGTTTTTGTCAGCAGAAGTTGTGAATGAGTTGTACACAACAAGAAAAAATATTTACCAGTAAAGGACAAATGAATTGCTGAGAAAGGAATTTTACAACTTACGAGTTTGTGCCGACATCCTAAAAGAAAATGTCATTTGCTCCCATAAGGGTGACCTCAAAGCATGCCACAAGATTTATACCAACCACAGCCTGATTTAATTCTCTTCCTCCTTCCTGCCTCAATAAACTCTTCCTGATTCCGGGTGCATCGCACACTAACTGCACATTCATATTAACTATCCCTTCTCCTACCTTCTCTGAAAGTCCCTTCTGAAATGATGCTCCTTCCCTTATATGCGACTGAAGTTGGTTAAGTCAGGCTTCAAGTTTAGTAGAATGTGCCATCAGGTTTCTCTTCTGATTGCCAGAAAAAATACGGAGCTGTTGTCTTTCTTCCCTCAGTCTTACTCATTTCCTAAGGAACTACTGCAAAAGCTCCAGGTAGTTCAGTCAAGCACAGACACAACTGGGATCTTCAGCTGACAGAAGTCGGCGCAGCTCCACTCACCAGTGGAAGACATGACTTGCTGGGCCAGTTGTGCAGCTATTCAGTCTGTTTGTTTAGAAATGAAATACCTGTGCCTATCACCAGAGTGCCTGGTGCTGTACAGGGTGGAATTTGTCCCTTACAAATCATGCAGTATACAAGCTTTTTCCTGTTAAGAAAGACCTCCTGTCTTTTTCTACACTTTCCCTTTACTACCAAAGTTTGACCAAGTAGATAGTATCAGGCAAAGCTCAGGGTCTGTCTGTTCATTCTGGTCCTGTTTTTCTAAGGTGGTAATAAATAAGGCTAAGTGAGGCAATTCTTGAGTAGAAATGCAATGAACTCATCAAGTGGTGAAAGATTTGCTCTGAAGTTTCACAGTTTAATATGTGTTTTGGCAGAATCTGCAAGGATTAGATGATTCATTTCTTGAGAACCTATGGTCCTCCACCACAAAATACCTAAATTGTTGATATCGATGATTGGTGAAGTACTAATGGATGACTATATTAGATAAAGACACTATGCACACTGTACCAAAGCTGTTCATATTTGCTGCTATGTAGAAGAAGGCCCAGAAATTTGGAAAGCTGAGTATTAAATGATGCATGTCCTTCCTCAGAATAAATAGACAAGCACCTCTATTTACTGCCTGGAGAGTCTGGCTCAAAAAACCAAAGAGCTCTTATGAGAGGTAGCAAAGCCATCTTTTAATGTGGTTTTAGGTACAGTGCTTTATTGACTGGCTTTTGATGATTATCCTGACTCTTCTGTTTACAAAACATGAACTCCTTCTAAAAATATATCCTTTTGAGATGAGCAGTGAAAAAAAGTGAGACACTTGGCTTCAGATGAGGTATAACTGGTTGCAGAGAGCACTTACATGCGTCGATAGAGAAAAAAACTGAACCTTTTCCAGAATGTCTGCTATACACATCACTTCTAGGGAAGGCATGACATGTATTTTCTCTGTCTCTGTAATTGCTGCCCTTTCGTCATGCTCCCAGGCTTGCCTTTGTTAAATCAATTAGATATCTTTATGATCTACAGGGCTGGCACAGTGGCTTAGAAAATCAGGGAACAGCCGAGCATGACAGAACTGGATTGGAACTAGTTGGATCCAGGGTTTTCTCAAGACCTATGGGTAAAGGTTTCTTTTGAAGTGTTTTAAGTTACACTGTCTAGCTGCTCAGGAAAAAATACCTGAGGCAAAGAACTGCCTCAGGCTTAGAGGTCTGGAAAAGAACTGCCATAAGCAATCAAATTCTCCTTTGGATTGCAGTATCTATCCCTCAGCATCACTGTGCGATAATCTGAAAAGGCAGCACAAAAAGTGTTACTGGAACTATCCAATGAAGAGACACGATGTAGGAAAATACTAGTGTTACTGCACTGTTGTATTCACCAGGCCCAAACTTCCGCTAAGTGCTTCCCAAAGAAAATACAGAGAAATACGCCATTCCTGTTCTAATGTGCTTGCAGATGTGATAAATGCAGGTAGCAGACCAAAGAAAAAAGATGGACTGAGGAAGGGAAATGTTGCAGCAAGAACACTGGTCAGGTAAAACAAACCATGACACTAAAAATGGGACTTTTAACCCTTCTGACCTGAGCAGTATAATGAAAGCTTACTTCCTTTTTCACTAGCTTCACAGAAATGATGAGACAGTGGGACCCTGTAGGACAGGGACAGAGGCTTTATGGAAGGCATTCTATGCGTGTGGAAAAAGGCACAGGCATGGCTATGGGAGGAGTGGACTGCAAGGCAGGTAGCTGCTTCCTTGGGGCTGAAAGGTGAAGGAGAAAGACAGGGACTCCCAACAGCTTTTGCCATCGCAAAACGTGAGAAAGAGGCAGAGACTCAAGACAGCTCTTCTGCATAGACACGAGCACCGAGAAGATTGCCGAGTTAGACAGTGCCTGCTTTATCCCCTCTGCTGGGATCTTCCACCACAGTGCAGCGCCTGGTTGGAGGCCTGTCAGCAAGCGCTTGTATTTCTCTTCTGTGTGTTTACATGACTCATCTTCAGAATAACTCCTCACATGCCTGCATGGAGGTTTCATGGGGAGTGACAGTGGTAGCCTTTTATTCAGGAGGACTCTGGCCTTACACCTGAAACACTGAAGAAGTGCAGTTGCAGCTGGTGAACCTGATCTGCAGTTCAACTACCAGGATGTATAAGAAGAATTTGGTGATGTTCCCTGCACTTAGACTGGGCCTGAAACAACGCTCGGGTAGGAAGAATTGTGCTTGCAGTATTAAAAGCTGTATTTGAAAACGTAGCCAGCTGAATGTCAGTCCTGGAAGGTGGAAATGAGTCTTGGAGTGACTGAAATTGCATACCTCCAGGGTGAAGGACTGCAGGATCAGTGAGTTGCTATGTCAGTAAGATTTTTTTCATGGCTTTTTATATACTTTCCATACTCCCACCTGCTGCTTCACAGGCACAACTGGAGGGTTTCTTTTGTACCAGGTAGGTTGGCTCTTGCTGATGGCCTTCAGTAGCCTGGCATGGCTCAGAGGCCAGTCAGTCTGTTCTAGAGGATGTGAGCCTCACGCACATTTACACTATTAAAAAGGGAAAATTGCCAGCTTGTTTAAATGCTAAGTGTTCCCAAAACCCAAAGTCATTAGACAAGAGATGGAAGGGCCATGTGAGTTAAAGCAACCACAAGGACTTTTGTAACAACTGGTGCTCTTGCCAGGTAAGGTTTCATTCATTTTACACAACCACGGGAAATGAAACTTGTTGCTTGCAGGCAATACAATATTTGATTTGCATGTGCAGTACAAGTCAGAGCTTTACTGCATCTATACATTTTTAAAATGTGCAGTATGAAACAAAGGTGCTTTTAGTTCATGCCATTTAGTTGCGGTTCCTTCAGATTTTTTGAAATGCTTTACACAGAAAGCATTAGGAATTAAGATATGATTAAAATCCCATAACCAATGGTTCAATTAACAACCACAGAAGGTTGATTAGAGTAAACTAAACATGGGCATTTTTGCAAGTCCTTAAAAAAAGACTCCCTTCAGTGGTTAAAATATGATGTAAGCAAGAAGTCTTGTCTGGTGCAAACGTCCCTGCTTCTTCTAGGAGAGCAAAAGTGTAGTACCAATTTGGCAACAAGTGTTTCACCAATATTTTTTTTTCCACGTGGATTTCAGGTTTTCCTTCAGTTTTGATTTAAATCAAAAAATTTTCTGAGGTTAATTTTCAAGTGAAGAATTTACTAAATGTCCTGTCAGTTCAAATGATCTCTATTAAATGTTTTATGTACAGTAGATGTAGAAATGTAACAGTTAATAAAGGAATAAGCTGAGTTCCAAACATAACATTTAGTTAAAATTTTGCTTTGAAATAATTTGTGACAGAAAAGCTGCAGTTAGCCACTTCACACAGTGCACTGGCTGCCTCTGTTTCTCTAAGGCACAGCCTAGGAAACATCAAGCAGCTTTAAAATGAATGACGTAATGAGCAAATAATTGGAATATGGCTATTAAATGCCATCTTGTTATGTCATGTCATTTACATGTATGTGCAAATAAATCTCAGCTTTTCAAATTCCATAAAATTTCTGACAAGAAATCATGTCAGGTATAAATAACTACAGGATTCCATTGCCTGCCAAATTCTTTCAGCATGTAATAATTTCCATGTGATCTTACTACAGCTAGGTTTAAACATATAAATAATGTCAGCTTATTCTTTCATTATCAATATTTCTGCTACCAGCTTGACGAAACTTGCCGTCTTCTAGAAATTCCAGATCCACAATGTTTATATGCTTCTATACAGATGCCTAGTTCTACAGCTAGACTTACATAGTGTTCCTTTTTTCAGCAAAAATTCAAAACTCACAAATTACTACAGATTCCATTAGAAAAACATACTATTAATGAACTGAGATGCAAAAAAGATATAGAGCAACTACAGCTAAGTACAGGTTACAGATCAATTGATTTCAAAGACTGCTAATCAAAATTGATTTTTGAACGACCATTTCCATAATGAATTTATAATAATACTTCAACATATGGCCAAAGTGGAAAATTATTGCTTTTTCAAAACCACACGACATAACACTTAGAAAGCAACAATTCATTCAAAAGGAAATGTGGTTTTCTTAAGGAATAAAGTCAATTTATTTAAGTGGTTCAAAACTTATTCTGTCTATGCATTTGTTTCTGCCATAGTAATGAGCTGCTAAACTTTCCTCTTGTGGTTTGTAGTTATTTAGCTCATTATAGTAACATAATCATATATCATTATATGCTATCATAAATCTGCCACTTTTCCCTTACAGAGTTAATCTTTTTAAATTGAATAATCTGTTGAGCATCAGGTTGAGTTAGTTTTTCCTTCAGCACAAATCATTTAATATAATACGCTTTAACTTTTCAGACTAAGTCAGTCCAACCAAAGAGTAAAAATACTCCTCAGAGAATGAAGGGCAGAGGGAACGGGTGGGATACCGAACCCCATTACAGCTGTGAATTGCTCACTGGGTTTGTGTTCAGCTCCTGTGTTTCAGATGCAGCCTTAGCATGTATGGAGAGAAAGCAAACCTCCTATTTTGCCCACTGGTAAATTGATCACATGTGATACTTCACCAGCCAAAAATGACCTTATACAAATGACAGTACAGCTGTGAAACGAGTTTCAAAAAGCTGGTTATCTGCCTGTATAAACTTAAACGCTTGGTTATACTTGCAACCAGACAGATGTCCTGCACACTTCCTTATTGTGAATATTTACCACACTTAAGCAGCATACCATCTGGATTATATAGTATATTTCTTAAATATGCAAGCTCCTGTTAGTGGAAGAAGCTGTGATAATAGTATCTCTTGCTAATTTATGCCTCAGAAATTGCAGAAACATTAACTAGTTCCCACAGCAGAACTCTGGAATAGGTAAATAAGCTCCAATTAAAAAGGCTGAGTAATTCAGAACAAAAAAAATGTTTTAAATTAAGCAGTGGGGCAGCTGCTTAGCGGCTCCCATTCCTCTCCTCAAATCACACCGGCACTCTACAGTTGTACAGAGTGCCTTTGCATATTATTATATAAAATAATACAGATGCCAAACTTCCAAGTAATACATAGCAAAATATTTTTTCTTTGTCTAAGTTCATGTCTAGTGCATCACTGTCAGTGGACTGAGCAGGACATTGCCAAGGTGTGCCTCAGCCATGTGTTTTGGGACTAGATGCCTCTTGCGTTGGCGGGGTCACTCTCGCCAAGCTGACGGAAGGTGGGGTGACCAGTCAGATGAGATGCATAGCTAGTAGCCATCTACTGAAAAACCTGAATAAATGCAATAAATCTGCTGTTGTGATAGCTTTCTCCTTATCTTATGATAACATATCACAGCATGAACTAGTCTGAAAATTTTGCTCTGTATGTGTATCAAGCCACTTTAAAAATTGGGAGTTCCCACTGAAATGCTGTCAGTCCCTTAATAAGACAGTATTGGCCAAAAATGCAAAAACTGGAATAAATTCTTTCTCCCCAACTAGGAGTTAGGAAAGTTTGGAGGGCAGAGAGGGGAAGGAAAGAAAAAAAGAGGGAAGAGTTACCTTGAGATCCCTGCTGTACAGACTGGTTTTGAAATTGAGCGTATGGTTTATTTGATATTCCAGAAAATTGCTGCCCGTTTGGTGACTGGCTGTGTGATGATGGAGAGCCGTGTTTCTGCAATAGGGAAGGTGGAACTAATGCTTTCAGGGGGCTGACGAGTGGAGAGATTATGTTGGGAGCAAGCCTAGAAAAAGAAAATACAGAAAAACTTCACATATCACATCACAATATGGGAAAATGAAACACTTTAAAGGCCCTATTTCCATAATGGCCAAACTATAGAAACGTTTATTTTGCAGGTAGAAATTCTACTGTAAAAATAGATAACAATGCAGTGCTGCTTTCAGGTTTTCATTAGGAAGAAAGGGAGTTAGAAAGGGATTTCTGTTCCTTTACACTGACTTTCTGTACTAGCCATAATGACAGGATCAAAATGACACCACTCCTCAGTAAGCAACTTACAGCTCAGTTTTAATTTAAAATTTTGTGAGCTGAGATACATGTCCAGAAAACAGAAGTGGAAAATGTAGTTAGAGTGAGTAAATGCAAGTTAAGTGCCTTTGTAGCTGTAACAGGGTAAATCTTTATACCCAAGTTGTGGCCAAGACAAAGAAAAGCATTAGTTTCAGTTATTCCTCATGTAGGACTTTTCAGACTTAGAAATACAGCTTTAACTGCAACAGATGGTACTGTCCTTTCAAAGAAAAAGCCTTAGTAGTGTTTGCTTGTGGCAGCAGTGCTCAGTGTAAGACTGAGAAGTGGTTGTACCTGAGAGATGGAAAATTCCCCCCAGACGTCTGGGACTCGGGCCAGCACAGGAGCGCTGGGGCAGTCCCGCTCGGGGAACCGATCCTGACCCAACACTCCCACAAGGAGCCAGAGCAGCTCAGGAAGAACCTCACTAACCTGCTTCCATGAAGTCGCCGGGCTTCCTCTGCCACCAGTGGAGCAGAGAAGCTTCAGTGCTTCCTCCCTGCCACAACGTGACCATCCCACCAAGGGGTGGCACAGCAGCTGGCCCAGAAGGGACAAACCCTTTGGCAGAGAACTGTCTTTTGGCCATTTACAGCCAGAAAGATGGCTTGGTGCAGAAGATGGGACCAAAAACCTGGCCATTCACGTACAAGCCTCTTTCAGAGCTGCATTAAAGTAACCCTATAAATGAGTAAATAGGCAGAAGCTGGATCCCTTACCCTCCTACGGTAGCTGTGACAAACAGCCTTTTGCTCCACAGCCCAGTGTTACACGGTCAAATGTGCGGGCTGCAGGGAGCACATGTGCGCCATATACTCTCTGCTGCCTCTGGAGCTTTTGCTAAACATAAGAAGCAGCTCTTTGAGCAGCACTAGAACCTTCAGATGGCAGAAAAACCACCTATCCATTTGAGAGCCACCCTGCTGAAACTTCACAGCTACAGGTCCTGAGGCATAGAAATAAAAATACCCCTGCAGATTACAATACATGTCACCTAGCTGGAAAAAAAATAGCGAGCACAAACCATTGCAGGCATAAAAAGAATCAACTAAAAAACCAAATCTATCACCGGTGTCTTCCTCTACCACTGCACAAGCCGTTCAAACACCAGAAACCATGATGTGCAATAGCAGTTCCTCACCAGTGTGCATGACTGCCGCTTGCAGCAGTTAGGATTAAACTTGGGGAGCGAGGCTATGCTTGACTTAGGACTAAGCACTACATGGGAATGTTCAAGAGGTAAATATAGATGAACTGTGAATTAACGGCGACAACAGCTTCATCAAATTTAACATGAGAGGCAGAGGAACACTGCCAAAAGCTGTCACAGTGACAGTCTATTAAAAGGGGCTTAAATAAATCCACCAGTCAAAGCTCATCCTATGCTGAAATAACTCCATCTCCCAAAGCAGGAAAATAAGGCATATAATACAAACCACAGAGACTCTTAATATCCCCCAACTAAACTGAAGAAATAAACCAGTATTGTTAAATGGGTGAAGGCAAGGATATTTTCCAGCCTTCATGTATGAATATGTAAGAACTGGAAAATAATTTTTTTTGTGAGAAAGGTAACGCTACCCCCAATAAGCGATGATCAGATATGTAAAATAAAGAGGACTAAAGTCGAATTTTAAGAGCCAACATGCAAAGAAAAAAAAAAAATCTTAACCTGTGCTTCAAGTGCCTATTAAAAAGGGCTCAGCAGCTGAGCTGGGATGGCCCTTGCCCTACCCGAGGGTAAAGGCCTGGGGCTGCAGAGGTGCTAAAAAGGGACGCGGGGAGTGCCGGGGCCCCCTCTGCCCTCTTCAGGTCAGAGACAGAAAATGCTCTCTGGAATCTGAACTGCTGACAAGCAGATGCTCGGGGGAAAATACCGAGTTTATTTGCTAAGAAGCAGCTGAACGCCAAGGTCAGCTCCCGTGTGGCTGTAGTTTTTCCTCAAAGGTCTCAGTAGAGAAATAGTTTAACAGAAATGAGCTGTCGTGCAGCCCAGCTACAAGTCGTATCTTCTGCAAATGCTCTCAAATGCGTGTCTGTGGCGAACTACTGCATGAAGATGGGGCTGACATTATCTGCTGGGAGCTGCCGAAAAGCCTTTGCTTCGGTCTCTTCCCAGGCTGCAAGGGAGTGCCAGCGAAGCACAACCACAAATTACAAAATGGTCACCAGCCCCTTCAAATGGCACACATGGAAACATTGTCCTCGACATGCCAGAAACGCTATTAGAAGCCTGGAAATGCTTCTATCTGGAAGGAGATTAAAAAGATTGCAGTTGCTTTCATTGGAAAGATAATAGCTAAAAGAGAGCATGATAGTGACATTTATATGGATAATGACCACACACACATTTTAAAGAGAAACAAAAGATGTACTAAAAACTCCAAGGCCTGGATGAGCCAGAAACCACTCTGAATGAGGGAAGAAAATACTTCTGGTGAGCGAGTACTCTGCAACTGCCTGTGTTGGGTTTCCTCTGCCTTCTCTTGAAATGCCTTGTCCTGGCTACTGCTGGGAAATGCAGCACCCCGTAGAGGCCTGCCGGGCTGCCCTGCGTCGAGTGCTTTGTTAGGATGGTCGAGTAATCGCATTTTTAAATTCTATGCAAACATGTTGCATGTCAAACAAAAATGGTACATTTAAGGTGTCCAGCTGTGGGAATACTGAAAATCCCAGCTTCCCTACCCAGTTTAACGACTCCCAGAGGCTATTTAAATCTTAACCATGTGAGAAGAATTTAACAGTTTTTATTGTTATTTTTAAAGCAGCGCTTCTCCCCTTTCGCACTCTTTCGCATTCCTGTTTTTCCTGTGTGCGAGCTCAACAGTTGTGACAGCATTTGTGCCTCAAAGCCTTCGAAAGGACCGGTAAGAGCAGGTGAGATTCCCCACGCGAGGCAGGCGGGTGCGGAGGTGTGCGGCGCTCTGCTCCGGCTGGGTGAGCTGATCGGCCGCGCAGAGCTGCCAGCTCGCTGCTCCCACTCGGCACTGCTGTCACGGTGCTGGAGCTCAGCAAACATAGCTGTCCGCGGGCAGCCAGTATCCTGGTAACTTACTGTAGCGCAGGAACTTGAGCTGAAACCCTGACAGCTCCGTCTAACGCTTGACCATCGCTGCCTCCTCTGCATGAAGAGAGAGTTTCATGCAGCTGAGCAGGTCACCATAAAATCTACCACGTTCTGCTCAGCCTCTCCCAAACAGGGAATTTAACATGCTTCCCATAAGTTAAGGCACAGTTTTTAGGTAGGAAAGAGCTATATTAGTGCAAGTGGCCACCATGGGGATTTGTCTCCTTAAAATATTCATCACAATGCCTACAGCTTGAGCTGCTCCCTAAAATACTATTTTGTGTGTGTGTATGCATGTGCGAATGTGCTCTGGCACGTTTTTTTTTCATCTAACTGTCCAGTTCCCAGTGCCGTGTTTTTAATTCTCTCCTGAATATTTGCCTACTAATTAGGTTGCTGTGATACTCAAGTTGTTAAAAGAGAGAAGGAATCATTCCTGATACAAATTAAATAGATAATGCATTAGCAACAGGAAAGCTTAAAAGGAGATGCCTTCTGTGTGGAAGAAGAAACACTAAACTACTTACACCAGGAACTCGGCTGGATACATTAAAAATTCCCAGGCAGTAGCTCAGGCATATATGTTTCAATAACTAATAGCCTGGACATTTCCTGTTAACACTGTACTACAACCACAGTTTGCTTTGGTTTGGATATTAATAATAAATACATACCATATATTTTACTTTAATTGTAACTTGTATAATTCAGTAAATTTGCAGGTCTTTTGGGGCCTTTTAATATATATCTGTGCCTATATATAGCTATATAGAGAGATATATAAATAAATATTCTCACACACATGTTAAAAAAATCCTTATCCCTTATCCTTAATGCATTACATTTGAGGGCTACTGGCTATACAGAGTATTTCTGTTTGGTAGCATAAATCTTTCTGCTGTCTCCCTAACCTTGTGACAAAGCTAAGAAGTTCTTACAGATCGCTTGCACTGCTGATGTAGTCTGACTGTCGCTATAGTCTTACAAGGATGCTTGACAGTAAAACACTTAGTAACTCGCTGCAAGGCTTTTACTACTCCATTATCAGAAACCCCTTGTCCCTTATGTAAAAGGTAACCTGTTAACCATGCATTTACCTTATTCCTACCCATTATCTGCTACGGACACTAACAAAGTTACTAGCAAGCCCTCTGTGAATCCAGAATACCAGTTGCCTACCAGTGGAACTGCTATTGCTAAAACCCTTGCTGTATGTAATATATGATGCAAGTAGGAAAGCTTTTTCACTTCAAGATTCATTTTGGTGACTTCAGACCTCATAACAGTAGGAGCTTCTCAATACCTCTCATAGAGAGGTATGCACCAAAAGAGTCTATGTTCCCTGCACATGTTGGCTGGTTTTGAACTTACAGTATCTTTTGGGAACAGCAGCGTTGTAGGAATAATGTGCAACTTCCTTGAGCAGCGAGAATAACAGAAAGGGAACTATACAGTTGGATGCAGTAAGAATCTACTTATTAATGACCATACGTTACATAGTGGTGAAACCAGAAAAGCTGTATTCAGTTTTGATTAATTAAGTTAGCAGAGGAGTCAAAACAGCTGAAGATTTACTACAACAGTAAGACAGGGTTTTCTTACAGAGTAAAACTGACAAAATGAGAAGCATGCCACTGAAAGAA